TATCCGCAAAAAGAACAGGATTACTTGTGGCACCTTAGAGACTAACAAATTTATTGGAGCATAAGCTTTCGTGGGAATCCGAAGAAGTGGCTGTATCCCATGAAAGCTTATGCTCAAATAAATTTGTTAGTCTCTAAGGTGCCATAAGTAATCCTGTTCTTTTTCCGAAAGATGCGACCTAACAATAAAATGTATCGTACTGTATCAGGTTGTGGTCCTCTTTCTGACTAATTTATCATCTATTGTATTTGTAAGGGGCATCTCACTGTAATATCTAAGCAACCTCCTTTTCAGCTCCATTGAAATCTATTCAAAATAATTGTTTTTTATCAACCACCATATCCTAAATGTAGCAATAATAGCCCAGCTTGCAAAGGTCAGCCGCTGAGTTATAATTCAGCCATATGCTACATTTTGTTTCCCCATCAAAATACTCCATGTTTCTGATACTCTTGTTCTTGCAGAGAAATTGGTGTCGTCAGGTGACTCTGTGACAGGCTGGTTTGCTGCATTGTGGCATATTAGGAGGAATCACATTCATTTGTGCATAGAACTACCTGAGTGAATATTCACTGAGGGTATGTCTACACTACCCGCCGCGGGTAGCGATCGATCTATCGGGGATCGATTTATCATGTGTAGTGTAGACGTGATAAATTGATCCCCAATCGCTCTCCCGTCGACTGCTGAACTCCAGCTTGGCGAGAGGCGGAAGCAAAGTTGACGGGGGAGCCGTGGCGTGCTGCGAGGACGCGAAGTAAGTAATTTTAATTCGATCTAAGATACGTCAACTTCAGCTATGCTATTCTCGTAGCTGAAGTTGCATATCTTAGATCGATTCCCCCCCCAGTGTAGACTAGGCCTGAGAATGAGATCCTAATAACACAGTATTCTTCTCCGATGCAATATTCTGGGCTCTGATATCTGCATGGTGCTGAGCACTTGCTGGCCCTGCAACTTCTCTTTGATTCCTGACACTTCTATGCTGAAGAAGTTGTCTTTGATAAATAGTCCACTGTGGCAGGATCTCTTGATGGTCCCTCATTATAAGGCATCCCTTAATTGCCTCTGTCCGGCACAAACCTAATGTTGCCTCGCTCCTGTAGCTATATATTATTGACATCAGAATGCAGAGACATAAAATTAAAGTTATAAAAATGTTCTTCTTCTCTCAGCTACATTAACTTTGTGCTTCATAGGTCAGAGGGGACCCCAGTCATCTAGTCTGACCTCCTATGTGTAACAGGCTATAGGAGTTCCGCAAAATAATTCCAGTTTGAATTAGACCATATCTTTTAGAAAAACATCCACTCTTAATTTATAATATCCTGTGATGGATAATCCACCACAGCCCATGGTAAACTGTTCCAATGATTAATGACTCACTGTAAAAAACATACGCCTTATTTCCAGTTTGAATTTGTCTAGTTTCCACTTTCAACCATTGGATCATGGCCTTGTCGGATTGAAGAACCCTTTATCCCATGAAAAACGACAAAGAGTCCTGTGGCAATTTATAGACTAACAGATGTATTGGAGCCTAAGTTTTCGTGGGTGAATACCCACTTCGTCAGACATGCGTCTGACAAAGTGGGTACTCACCCACTAAAGCTTATGCTCCAATACATCTGTTAGTCTATAAGGCGCCGCAGGACTCTTTGTTGCTTTTTACAGATCCAGACTAACATGGCTACCCTTCTGATACTTTATCCCATGAAGTTACTTAAAGACATGGTTAACCATAGAAGCCAGGAGAGACACCTGAGGACTATGAAAAAGCAAACATGGAATCTGTTGTTCAGCTAGTTCTTGAAGGAAAAAGGAAGAGCCACAAAGGAAGTGGCTGATTGGAGAACAAGTGGGTTCTTGCATCTGAAGAAGTGGGTTTTTACCCACAAAGACTTATGCCCAAATAAATCTGTTAGTCTTTAAGGTGCCACTGGACTCCTCGTTGTTTTTGATTGGAGAAGAGAGATCATGGTTAAAACATGAGACTCAGAAGCAAGTGTTTTAGATTCTTTTCCCAGTTCTAGTACACACAACCTCAGGTGATGACACAGGAAAAGTCATTTTATCCATCTGTACCTCAGTCTCTCTCTCTGTAAAATAACCAAACCTTGTACTTCTCAGCCTTCTATCAGAGGACCTTAAAATACGTTACCAACGTTAACTAGCTAATCCTCCTCCTCAGAGACCTTCTTTAAGCTAGACAGATATTACTTCCATTTTACAGATGAGGAAATTGAGGTACAGGGAAGTTACATGTCACACAGGAATTCTGTGGCAGGAGCCAAATCTCCTGACTTCTAATACAGTGGTTTAACCGCAAGAGCATTCTTCCACCATACAAAGAGCAGGCAGTTTTGCAGAAGAGTTAACCCAGAGGAAGAAGGGAATCTGATTCTGTAACTTTAATTTATTTTCATTCTTCTCCATCGGCAAGCTTAGTCAGGGAATAATCTAAAGAGGACTTTCTGGGTGGAAATGGAAAAACCGTAAAGAGATTGTTTCTGGATGTAGCAATGAAGCCTTCGAAAATATATTTCTTGCTATGTGTGTCTGATCTCATACACTACCGGGGTGTCCCTGTCAGTGACAACAAATGACATTGGGATCTAAGTTCCCTCCAAGCTGCATGGCTGCCTATTAAGCCTTATGCAGCGGCTCAGGGCTGCGGCACGGAGAGATGCTGCTCTCCGCCGGGCAAAGTACGGATCTGCAGCAGCGGGGAGAGGCGTCCCTCCCCGACGGCCCCAGTGTGGACCTGCCCCGGATTTGCCACGGCCGGGGGAGAGGAGCCCCTCCCTCAGCCTGGCCTGGCCCAGGCCCACCAGAGCTGCCGGGGGAGAGGAGCCCCTCCCTCAGCCTGGCCTGGCCCAGGCCCACCAGAGCTGCCGCGGCCAGGGAAAGGCACCTCTCCCCTGGCCCTGAGCTGCTGCGGCGAGAAAGGGCTGGGGAGAGTCCTCTCTCCCCACCGCAGCCTCAGGGCAGCCTGCACCCCAAACTCCTCATCCCTGGCCCCACCCGAGAGCCTGCACCCCCAGCCAGAGCCCTCATCCCTGCACACCCCAACCCTCTGCCCTAGCCCTGAGCCCCCTCCTGCATCCTGAACCCTTCGGCCCCACCCCCACCACATGAATTTTATGTGCACCAATATGAAGGTGATGTGTGACACATCACCTCCATATTGGTGCACATAAAATTCATTCTGCACATGAACGTAAAAAATTAGAGGGAACACTGATTGGGATTATATTCTTTGACCTTTTTTTCCCCTTATGTTTCTTAGGTGTTTTATACATAAATTATTATTAATCAGAAATCATATATGGAATCTGTCTTGCATCTACATTAAACAAAAGTATTGAAATGACTGTGCAATGCCTAGTGTCCACTCACAACAGCTGACCCAGGCCTTTTACACAGGGCTGGCTCTAGGATTTTTGCCACCCCAAGCAAAAAATTTACCATCCCAAGCTCAGGTGAGGCTGGGGCTCGCAGGCGGCGCTGGAAGCGGAGGAAGTGATGTCACCTTCTCCCAGTGCCCCACCCCCGCCCGGCCGCGCAGAGAAGTCCCGATATAAGGGGTGACACAAGGCAGCGCAGCAGCCAGTCCGCAGATGAGGCGGCACAGCCCCGGCTCCCCGGCAGGACTCACCCTCTCCTCCCCAGGTAGCGGCTGGGCCCTGGCAGTTCAGCATCCCAGGGCTGGGGCTTCCCCTTTCCACTGCGGCCGGAGGCACGGCGCCCTCGCCCTGTCTAAGTGGCGCAGCTCCAAGAGCGCAACTGCCCCGAAAAAAAAGGATGTCCGGAATGCCGCCCCTGGAAATGTGCCACCCAAGCACGTGCTTGCTTTGCTGGTGCCTAGAGCCGGTCCTGCTTTTACAACCTGAGAGCAGGTTTTTAGTTAGAAAACTGAACAGAAAATATTTACCACTTTACAGAGGTGTGAATGAGTGTTTGCAAAGGACCTTGAGATTGTAACAGGTTGGTTTGCCCCTGGGCTGGAGAGCCCAGGGCTAAACTAGCTGTGATTACAAGATGAGCCAAAGGAATCAGAGAGGAATCAGACAATTCAGTATAAATGGCAGCAGGAAGGTGAGGAGGGTAGAGTAGTTGGTTGAGAGAAGTAGCGGAGACTGAAGAAGCAGGAGGCTCTGAAGTAAGCTAGGGAAGCCCAGGAAACAGGATGCTGTGAGGAGCCGGAACTGATTAAACACTTTGTGTTTGTTTTGGGACTTTTGAGTTCTGTTTTTGACAAACTGGGTTGGCTGCCTCGTAAAGAGCGAATTAAAGGATTTTGGACTGAGAAGGTGACTGGAAACTGAGACTGGAGTTCTTAAAGGGGCTCTCATGAGGGGAAATTGAGGTAGGTGGCAGACACTGCACTAGAGATCATCCAATAGAAGGTCAATAGCGTAGGATCTATTCCAGGTAAAGTACCTGACTAGGTAATAAATCAGACTGAGGAAGGAGTGTTTGAGGCCTGCAAAGATTGGGTGACCCAAGTGCTCTCTTCTAGCTCCTATTTTTGCATCCTTTGTTTTGGACCTTTGTCCCACATTTTGGCCATGGCAAGCAAGGAGGTATGTCATAGCTGGAATATTGATGGGAGGGGGGTGTCTATTTTTCCTGGAATGTTGATGGGAGTGGGGTGTCTATTTTTCCTGCAACCCCTCATGGCAACTACAGCATGTAACACAAGGACTCTGAAGCATCACCAGGAAGCCAGTTACCTGCCTGGTGGACCAGGAGTCTGATGGGGCCTAGCAAATCCTAAATTCTCAGGAGCTGGTACCTGTGTTGCTTCTCTGTTTAGCAGCTACAGATGATGCAAAGTCGTTGCATGTAAATTTACCAGGTAAATTATTAAAAATTGGAAGAACTGCAGCAGGGAACGTGACCTGAATTAACCCTTAGCAAGCCAGAAGGAGTACGCTGGAAAGCCGATCCTGCTCTATAGGAGGTGCTGTAGGTGCAATTGTAGGTGCTGTAGGCCAGGGGGTGGGAGCAGGAGAGCTGAGGCCTGCAGCCAGATGATTTTCCCTGCTAAAGTCAGTGCGGGTATCTCCCCTCCATCATCACCTCCCTGTATCGCAGCTGGCTCAGGACAGCAGCGAAGGAGTTAAGGGCTGGTGCTGGAGAAGGCCGGCTGTCAGGAGGGAGCATGTGCAGTTTGCAACCGCATCCATGCTACGGGTTAGAATCACTGGAACATTTAATCTCCAGCAGCCGCCGCCGCCTCGAGCCATCCATGGAGGCGAGGAAGACAATGCGCGGCTGAGCGGAGGAGGAGGGAGAGGCAGGAGCGAGGCAGAGCGTGGCCGCAGCAGCTGCTCTGGAGCGCGCTCTCCCCATCTTCGCCAGGGTAGGTGCAGGGGGAGCCCGTCCAGTCCTCCCGCAACGGAGCTGGCGGATGCTGAGCTGGGCTGGGGGATGCCGGGGCCGGCGTGGGAGCCGGAGGGAGGGCTCTGGAGCCCGACCGCTGTTGCTTTCGTTTCTCGCTGCGCTGGCTCCGGCTCCGGCTCCGGCTCCGCTTCCTCCCGCAGGAGAGGAGTTGGGAAGGGGGGGGGGGTGAGGGAGTAACTCACACCCGGAACAAAGCGGGCTCCAGGGGTGGGGGGGTTGCCCGGGGCAGCGGAAGGCAAACACAGCGGGAGCGGGTTGGCCCCGTGTTGTGCGCCGGAGCAGGGCGTGCTGGAGCCTGCTGTCGGAGCAGATGTTGGCAGCGCCGGGGGCTGGGCGCCAGCGCCGCTGGAGCGGAGTTGCGGGGGGTGGCTACAAGGAGCCGGGGCCGGCCATATGCTGGGCGCTGGAGCCACACGGACGATTCCGGGTCAGGATCTGTCGCCCTCTCCCGGGAATAGACAAGGCATCCGCGTGGGGCATCTGGCAGGCGCTGAGACCCGGCTCCCCAGCAAAGGGAAGGAACCTCGCCTCCCCCGGCAGGCTCTGGCGCTTGCCCGCCCTGGCTGATCGGACAGCGGGACACAGGCAGGAGAGATCCCGGGCACCTGCAGCGTCCGCCATAGGTGCTGGAACTAGGGGGGCTGGAGGGACTGCCGCACCGCACCCCCTGGCTTGAAGTGGGTATCATCATATACAGGGTTTACATTTGGTTCAATGGCTCTCCGCACAGCACCCCCAGTATACAAATTGTTCCAGTCCCCCTGGTTCTGCTCTTCCCCTGCGCCTTCCACGCTGTGCCCTTCTTCCCCCCCCTCTCCGCCCCCAGCAGGGGCCCTTCCCCTCCTTCCTTTGTCCCCTGTGGCTGTGAAGAGTCGGGGCTGGCACGCACTGGGTCAGGTCGAGGGCAGGAAAGTTTCTTTGTGTGTGTTTCGCGTTCAGCCAGAGCTGATTGAGATGAGGGGCAGGGACCCCTGCGATGTACTGGGGGATCCCTGGTAGAGCTCGCTGCACAATGTACATTCACATGGTCTCTTCGGCAAGAAAACGGGCCAGCTTTGACACTCAGCATTTTCTGTAGATTTTGAGAAGTTTTTGTTTTGGGAAACAAATTAAATGGTGTCCATGTGCCCTGCTTTTTCTGAACAGCACGGCTCAATTTTTCTCTGCCCAATGCCATTCATTGTTTTGATATGAAACTAATTTTTCAAAAGTTTTTCATAAGGCTGAATTGGGAATGAAATGTTTTGATTTTATTGAAATGAAACACTTCAGATGACCCAAAATGGAAGAAATTTTCAGAATTTTGTTTTTGCAGAAAACTTCTTCACTTTTTAGTTTTTGTTCCTTTTTCAGAATGGGACAAAAATGTTGAAATTCTTGAGGTTCCCACTAAACAGAAAATCTGGCTTCTACCCATCCCTAGTCCTTGGTGCTGGGATTTCCTTAGATACCTTTAGACATTTGTGACAGCTGGGATATTAGGAGGTGGGTTCCCAGCCCCTGTCCGAGTTAGCTTGTCACACCCAGGCTTCCTTGTCTGGTTTTGGCATCCTCTTGCACTGGATCTGCAAACTTGTGCCACATAGGAGCTAAGGTTCAGAAGCTGGACCTGCTCTCCCTCCCACCAGAGGCAAGGAAGCTTTCCCAGCTTCAGTATTTCCTTTCAGTTTGTTGCATTGCTTAATAACAGGAGAATCCTCTTATTTCCGTCTTGCCTGCTGGAAAAGATGGTCCCTCCAGGAGCTGAAATTATTCATAGGCAGCATGGTGAATTTGATACCTGAACTGTATTTAACAAGTGTCTGTAAAAGAAATAAAGCACTCAGAGTGCAACATCCTTTCATTTTCATGTATACAAATACCTTAATACTTATACTGCATTGGTCAGGGACTTGATAGCAATAGATGATTCTAAGATAATAAATCCCAAAGGAGAATTTTTAAAAAAATTATGAGTGAGCGGAAAAACAGCACTTGTTACAATGAGACCTCTACTGGCAGCAGCCACTGCAGGCTACAAGTCAGGCAAGCCATTCACTATGTATCTAATGTTAAGTACATGCTTATGTCCTATTTACATCAATGGGATTTAAACCTGAGCTTAAGTACTTCCCTGAAGTGGGGTCATAATAAGCTGGTCCAAGATACTCCACACATAGATGACAGTAGTGAACATGTTCCTAACTACAATGACACAGTTCATTGCTGCTGGGAAAATGTATTACACTTCAAAGTGGAGGGGTATGGTGGGGAATCTCCTCCCTGAGCTGTGTTGTACATAAAGATGGCCTATTCTGCACTGCTTATGCAGAGGACCCTTCCATTTGAGAGACACTATTACCGTTTTGTAAAAGGGGAAACAGAGGCACTGTCCGTAGTAGATCTGGGACTACAACCCAGGAATTGACTCCCATCCCTTGGTTTAACCATTAGTTAACACTGCCTCTCAACAAAGGATAACAGGGGCAGTGAGGCTCACTTATTATTTTTTGTTATTATTGTAGGGCCTACCTAGGAGCTGTAGTCATGTGCCAGGACCCTATTGTGCTACATGCTGTACAGACGCAGAATGCTTTGAGATCCTCCTGATAAAATGCACAAAGAAGTACAAAGTATTAGCTTATCTCCCCCCTACCCAGGATAAGTGGCATACAGGCACTGGAAAGAATATTTACTTTCTCCTTATTGGTGTTGTCACAGCATGATCATAAGGGAAGTCAGTATTATTGTATCTATTCTACAGATGGGTGAAAACTCAGGCAGACAGAAAGTAAGTGACTTGCTCAAGGTCACACGGTGAATCAATGGCAGAGCAAAGAATAGACTAGGAATCCTGACTCTTATATCTATGCTGCAATCAGGCATTGTGATGGTAGCACCTGTATATGTGTCTGAGCTAGCTCAAGTGACAATGGCAATGAAGCCACCGAAACATGGGCAATTTCGTGGGCTAGCCCTGTCTGCCCAGGATCCTCCATTTCTACTTGAGTGGCTGCTGACTATGCTGCTGCCCTAGTTCCTTGTGCTAGCTTTGATCTAGCTTAGGTCTAGCTCAGGTATGTCTACACATGCTGCAGTCACATCTCCCAATTGCAGTGCAGACACTCCTCCAGTGGCTTGCCCTGGTCATAGTGCTATATATAATATAAACACCAGAACTGACACAACTAAGGCCCAGTTATGACAAACAAGCAAAACACCCTAATCAAACAAAAAAACAAATACATATAGAATAAATGGTTGACCTATTTGATTAATAATGACTTATCATAGCAGCAGTTCTGCCAGTAAGGGTCAAATATTGGCATTCTCACAGTACTGCAGATTATTGTAAAAAAAAAACTCATGGAGGGTCACACAAATGATCCAGGGGCTGGAAAACAAGCCTACAATGTGAGGCTTAAGGAGCTCAGCGTATTGAAGGGAAGGATGAGAGGTGACTTGATCACTGTGTATAGATGCTTACATGCAGAATGAGAGAGCTGATCATCAGGGATCCTAGTTTTCTGTGATAAAAAAACCCAAAATTATCTGATTTAAAAAAATAAAAACTTGCATTTTTCCATGATTAAAATGAGACGCTGAGTTTTAGTTTCCCTAGCCACAATATATACAGGTATCAATAAAACATTGTGTTCAACTGGTATACAAAGAAACCCCATTTATCTGATGTAATTGGGATTGGGGCCAGACTAGATAATCAAAAATTCAGATAATCCAGAGAGCTTCAGCCCTGGGTGGCGAGGCTCGGGCTGTCAGCCCTGGTTCAGTTAGTAGGGAGAGCTAGATAATGGAGGTGCAGATAAACTGGGTTCTTATTCTTTTTATTTTTTCACAACATGTAAAAACTAAAGATTCTGTGTAAAAATGCAAATTCTGCGTTTTTCTGTGGCAAATAGATGTCTATGATCCCTGCCAATCACAGGGAGCTTTTCAACCTTGCTCACAAAAGGGATAACAAGATCCAATGGCTGGAAATGGAAGTTAGACAAATTGAACCTCGAAATAAGACACAATTTCCTACCAATGAGGGAAATTAACTATTAGAACAGCTTACCAGGGGAGGTGGTGGGCTCATCATTAAGAAGACATAGGATATCTTTTTTAAAAAGATATTCTTTAATTCAGTTTCTGGGAGAAATTCTACAGCCTGTGTATGCAAGGGGGCAGGCTGGATGGTTGTGGTGGTTCATTCTGGCCTTGGAATCTGTGACTCTATGAACCATTGTGTCCATTCCCTTCTTTTATGGGCCAAGGAGACAATGGGAAGTTCTCCATTGCCCTCAACATTCTCATAATATTTGCAACTCTGCAGTAAGACAATGACAATCTCATGCTTCAGGGGCTTCAACCATTTGCCTGTAGGGGTCAGGAAGAAATGTTTCTTTTCCCTAATGCACAATTGTTTAGATGTATTCTGAGGTTTTTTTCCCATCTTCTTCTGAAGCATCAGCAATTGGCCACAGCTGGATACAGGGTGGACCGATGCTCTGAAGTGGTACAGAGAATCCTCTGTCTTGATGCCTGGCTGGTGTTTTGCTCATGTGCTCAGGGTCAAACTGTTCACGAGATTTGAGGACAGGAAGGAATTCCCTCCCCCCCCACACACACACACCCTGGCCCAGATTGGCAGAGATTTTGGTAAGATGCGGGTTTGCCTTCTGCAGCATGAAGCATGGATTGCCTGCTGGATCACCTGGTCATATCTCACCTCATCAATTCCCTGCCATTGCAGGAGCTTCGGGCATCCATGGCATCTTGGTCTCCTCTTCCTGCCTGTGGTGCACATTATTAGTATTATTATATGTATTATCATGGTACCTAGGATCCCCAGTCAGAGACAGGACCCTGTTAGGCTAGGTGCTGTATAAACATAGAGCAGAAAGATAGCCCCTGCTCCAAAGACCTTACAATCTAAGTATAAGACAAGAGGCAACAGCGGGATATAGACAGATGGGG